GTACCTGGGAAACTGTCCAGCCTGCACCGCGACCATCTCCGGTGTAAGTAAATAATCTTTTCAATCAACCATTACGCCTCCGTGACTGATTCTAGCTCGAGCGTACTCCCCCACCCCGCGACTTTTCTCCGGCCCCGCGTGCCCGGGCTGCCGGCCACAGCCCGCGTGCACACAGACGAGCCCGGCTCGCGCCCGGCGAGGACGGGACCGGGAGCCGGCCCGCACACTATTGTTTATGCAAGTTTACATTTTAAAAAATGTTTTTGTTTTTTAATTTGCTTCAAAAGCAGAACATTCTGCTACGCACTGATACCATTTCGCTATGTGCCAGTGTCCCTTCTGTTGTAACGTCCCAATATCCTGTTCGGAATAAATCTCTTAATAGGCGTGTTGTCATTCTGAGTAGCCTCTGTCTATCAGTTTTAGACCATGTTAAAATTACTGAAGTGGATAATTCAGATTGCACCGGTGGTGTCCTTATAATTCAGTGATAATGTTCTTGCTATGCATTGTATGACAGTTACAGGCATTATCAAACTCTGCTTATTGCATAAAATTTTCCTCGTGGTTTGTGCGTGCAACATCTGCTGTTTCTCATCTTATATTTAGAATGTAAATTCAGGGTCCCTGTTAGACTTTAGTCACTGGAGTAGTCCCCAAGTACCGTGCACATCTTAACACTCACCAATACATAGCTAAGATCAAGTTTATTAAGCAGAAGAAACCAACATGCCTTTATTTGTTCTGCTTGGAAAGGAATGTAGCAGCATAAGTGTGTTTGGACTGGTGGAATAGCCAGTGGGACTCATTACTACCAGTAATTCAGTTCCTCCTTCAAACAAGAACCTCTGTTAAGAAGTACATTTGGATTCTAATGACAAGGTGGTAGATTTGGATTCCAGCGACAATGTAATAGATAACTTCTGGGATTATTTCATACTTACCTGTAAAATCCTTAGAATTGAAAATGAAAAAATTGATTATCAATGGTCTTCCAACAGCTGGGGAAGAGTCCAGAAAAAACAGGGCTTCAGTATTGTTTCATGGATTTTTACATGGAAGACAATTAAGCTTCTTGAAGTCTTTGGCAGGAGGGAAGCGCTATAACGATAACTTGCATTCAGGAAACGCAACCCGTCTTCCAGTTTGAAAATACTTAGTAGCCTTGTAGCAAACTTTATGTGCACAAACGGTAGTCTTATTTTTGGAAAAAGTTTCACAAAGTATAACCCACATGGCAATTTCTTTTGGCCTTCATGGGGCAAGTCCTTAAGGAATCTAATATATGTCACTGAGCACTTAACCCCTCGTTGCTCAGTGATCTAATGTAAAAAAAAATACTTCCAATGGGAATCAGTCAGTCAAATAAATACCACTTTAGTGAGGCAAAAGATCTGCACGGTTTTGGAAAACTGCTTAGGTTTTTCTCTAAAAGATTTACGATAGTTTTTTTGGCATGAACAGACTATCACCCTCAACTGTTATTACATCTAGAAAACAAAGTCAAACCTGTGGAAAATAAAGCTTGAAGGTATAGGGATCCTTTTAAGATATCTTTATTTTCCACCAATTCCCAGAGCCACATGTCCTATTTTTCATTTAAAATCTAGTATTTATGTTTGGAACGAGAGCCTAGAAGGGGGCTACAAGTCTGGCTACTTAATGCTTAAACAATTTCTATTATGGTACTGATGAATTTGGAGAACAGTCTTGCCCACAGAAAAGTTCATACTGATTTCAAGCCGTTTGACCCAGCCTGAGAAGATAAGCAAGCCCAATTCTGTGTTTTAAATGCTGCTAAGAACAGGTCTCAAACTCCTACGTAGCCATAGAGTTGTTCAGTTTCTGGAACACTGAAATAGCTGAACCAGGCCTGCTAATCTTTTATTTCTTCTTTTACTACAGATGAGAAGGACTTGGGGGTCAGGACTGACCACAAGATGAACATGAACCACCAATGTGATGCTGCGGCTAGTAAAGCGAGCAAAACGCTGGCTTGCATCCATAGATGCTTCTCAAGCAAATCCCGGGACGTCATTCTCCCGTTTTACTCAGCCTTAGTGAGGCCGCAGCTGGAGTACTGCATCCGGTTTTGGGCTCCACAATTCAAAAAGGACGTGGAGAAGCTTGAGAGAGTCCAGAGAAGAGCCACGCGCATGATCAGAGGTCAGGAAAACAGATCTTACGACGACAGGCTGAGAGCCCTGGGACTCTTCAGCCTGGAAAAGCGCAGGCTCAGGGGTGATCTGGTGGCCACCTGTAAGTTTATCAGGGGTGTTCACCAGGATCTGGGGGAATGTTTGTTCACCACAGCGCCCCAAGGGATGACAAGATCGAATGGTCACGAACTCTTCCATGACCGTTTCAGGCTGGACGTAAGGAAAAACTTCTTTACTGTCCGAGCCCCCAAGGTTTGGAATAGACTGCTGCCGGAGGCGGGTCAAGCACCCACTTTGAACACCTTCAAGACACATTTGGATGCTTATCTTGCTGGGATCCTACGATCCCTGCTGAGTTCCTGCCCCTGGGGCGGGGGGCTGGACTTGATGATCCTCTGGGGTCCCTTCCAGCCCAAATGTCTATGAATCTATGAAATGTCAATAGGTTTAAAACATTTCACCTGTGAGTATGTGTTTGTTCTTTTTCTCCTTCTTATGGGGTGGAGTGAGGAGGAGTTTGGCTGGGTCATCTGACCCCAGCACTCTGTCCTGCGCAGGCAGGGGGTCGGACTCGATGATCTGTTGAGGTCCCTCCCGACCCTAGCATCTATGAATCTGAGAGGCTTGAGGAGATGGGAGTGTATGCTGAAATTTCTCCAATTTAATGATAGGAGACAATATCTGGAACAAGTGCTTCTACCTGGAATTTTTTCCATTAACGTTCTATAAAACACTAGTTCACGTTTTCAGAGGTGAATTTAAAAAAAAAACAAATCACTGACTTGCTACTGCAAAGTATTTGAGCTGACCACTTCCCTTGTAGCAACTACACTGTCTTTACAATGCCATTAATGTTCACTGCCACCAATCACACTGAGATGTGGTTAGTATAACATGAACGATTTTAAACTATCCATTAAAAAAAATTGTATGTAGTTTAGAAATCCCAAATCATTTTTGCTGAGCCAATAACTGTTTCCATGGAAATGGTAGCATACAAAATGTTACCATATTTCAGAGAGACGGGGCTACTTGAACATCTGCTTGCTTATAACTACCACCTAGGACTTTAAAACTGAATTAGACCTTGGTCTGTGGAATTAGTTTACAAGAAAAATTAAAACAAAGCACACAAAGGATGTCCCTGTTGTGTTTTCTCTTTCACGGAAATAAAATAATAAAACTGTTGAACTACTCCAGATCTGTGTATTTGGATGATAGTCTCAGCTAGACTACTATTCATCTAATCCTTGTTTTAAAGCCCGTTCCATATAAACAACGTAGTCAATTGGATGATGTTTTAACAAGAAAGTAGTAATCTCTCAAAAAAGCAGCAGGTAGGGCCAACTGCCCATCCTTTACCAAGCATTTCTAAATGTAGGTTTCTCATGCGCAGAACATTCATAAAAGCCACATTCTTCCTTTTAAGCTTGCATTACTTTGGCCATGTCTACACTGTGAAAAACGTTAAGTGTGGCAAAAACAATCATTTACTTAGTCTATATTACTACCT